CCCCTGCCCCTCCCCCCAGGTGGGCGTGGCTCCCGCTGCCCAGCAGGGGGCGTTTCCTCTGCTCTGATTGGCTGAGGGGCAGAACCTCACAGGGAGGGGGCGGGGCTTCCAGCAATGATGAACCAATGGCGAGGCAGAAACAAAAATCTCATTGGTCAGGATTCCACGGTGGACAATGTCCCAAATGTCCCCAAATGTCCCCTCATATCCCAGTGTCCACGGTGCCATGGTGGCCAATGTCCACAAGTGTCCCCAAATGTCCCCAAATGTCCCCAGAGGTCCCCAGCTATCCCCAGATGTCCCAATGCCCATGGCGCCATGGTGGACACAGTCCCCAGGTGTCCCCGGATATCCCCAATGTCCACAGTGTCACTGGTGACCTTGGGGACATTGAGGACCTTGAGGACATTGGACACCATGGTGGACAYTGTCCYCTCATGTCCCAATGTCCACAATGCCCATGATGACCACTGTCCCCAGCCGTCCCCAAGTGTCCCCTCATGTCCCCGTGTCCACGCGGACATGGTGGACACTGTCCCCTTGATGTCCCCTCATGTCCCAATGTCCACAATGACACGATGACCACTGTCCCCAYGATGTCCCCAGCCATCCCCAGCAGTCCCAATGTCCACTCCGCTGTGCTGACCGCTGTCCGCTCATGTCCCCGTGTCCACGCTGGCATGGTGGTCACTGTCCCCATGATGTCCCCAGCCATCCCCAGATGTCCCAGTGTCCACTCTGACATGATGACCACTGTCCCCAAGTGTCCCCTCACGTCCCAATGTCCACGCTGGTGTGGTGGTCACTCTCCCCTCATGTCCCTGTGTCAACTCTGCCGTGCTGGTCACTCTCCCCTCATGTCCCGATGTCCACGTTGGCATGGTGGTCACTGTCCCTATGATGTCCCCAGCCATCCCCAGATGTCCCAATGTCCACGCTGGCGTGGTGGTCACTCTCCCCACTGACCCCTCAGGTCCCGATGTCCACGATGGCGTGGCGGTCACTGTCCCCCGCTGTCCCCTCATGTCCCAATGTCCACGCTGGCGTGGCTGTAGATCTGCGTGGCCCCCTTGAAGCTGGTGGCCAGCAGGAAGTGCCGCTGGCCCAGGCTGAGYGGGACGAAGGCGCGCGGMGTGGGGGYGGTCAGCTCCTGGCCAGAGAGCAGCTGACCGCCCGGGCCCAGGCCAAACACGCGGCTCGGGCCGAAGTCGTTGCCCAGCAGGACGAGGCGCTGGCCGGAGATGGTCAGTGGCTGAAACACGAGAGAGCCACGCGCCGGAACCTGCTGGACCTCGCGGAACATGGAGCCCTCCCAA